AGCAGGAATACTGAATGTATTGGGGACCCCTCCTTAGGCCTCAACACAGTGCAGTTCCTCCAGCATTGCTGAAGAGTGAAGATTCAGAAACAAAACCTACACATATCACTGAGGTCTTAATCATTGCAAAATGTTGAGAAAAACTTTTATACATTGAAGCCATGACCATTTTGTGTCTATCTTACTCTAGCACAAAAAATCCTTGGATGTTAAAAGATAGTTGTATTGCGTGAAAACTGTAGGATTGTCTGTTGTGTTCCTGTCTGTGGAAAGGAAAGGGGTCTCCCATGTACACTTAGCAGAGTCCCATTGGTCAATCCCTTCATGGTGTCTCGAAGCACAATGGAGCTGAACGCTGAGAAGTCACACGCTTTCTCAGTTCGAGTTTGTCTGCCTTCTTCAATAGGTAGGGTTGATCAAGCCAGTACTGAATTGCAAACATCCCTTATGTGAGACTAACTGAAAACTTTTGCTATGTCTGGCCTAAATGTTTGCATTTTGTTCACACTAAATTGATATACATAAATTGCGAGTTTTGTTTAAAGTGAGACACTTTATCTCCTGTTCTAAGGTGCCTTCCTTACCTCCTGTTGAGTCAGTGATTCTGAAAGTTCTTAATTTGCAAGTAAAACAAATCTAATAAAGAGAAGGTATTCAGGCACAAAGGGACTAATTCTCATGCCCACCTGCGAAGCAAAACTACAAGGAAGGATGAAACCAGGGCAACTAAATTAATGGATTACTTCATTCGATCAGACTGAGGAAATAGTACAAATATTAACTCGTCTGCCCGGAAGCTGATATTTTTTGCCTTAAATGACATGGTTGTGTTTTTGTAAGAGAAACTTAATTTAATTATGTGCATTTAAGTGAGCAGTTCTGAAAGTCGTGTATGACAATGCAATTGTCTGTTTCCTGAAGACGAACAGATCAGGAATATCAAATCCATTTCAAGCTAACATTAAAATGTAATTTCTTTTGATCTCTTTTACTGGGATAATTTGTTTCAAAGTAAAACATTAAAAAGATGTCTATAAACAACTACATGTGATTATTCTTATCTGGAACTAACTGATGGCCCAAGTCCTCCACGCTGACTGTATGTAGGTTTTGGACCAAAATATAAAAAGTATTTTTTGGCAATGTTGCTGAAGAAATCTTTGGTAATTTGGGAAGGGGTAGATTTGTAATATGCTCTTGATGGTATCACAAAAGCAATTTTTTTTTTTTGAGAGGTTTTTGCTATAGGGCATGTGCGCTCGCCAGACAGACAGAGACAGAGAGACAGAAAGCGAGAAATCACCCCCAGGGGGGATGACCACACCGCAATCCCTTCTCCTCCATTCTCTTCTTGGGATCTTGGGCACTCACGCACACGCACCCGGCATGAGTTTCAACCCACTGGGTCTGGGACACGAACCACGCTCGACTACATGGGAGTCCAGCGACATAGCCATTACGCTAACTGCTGGTCCATCACAAAAGCAATTTAAGGGCACATGGGCATGCAGGCACAAAATCCTGAGAGAGAAATGGAAAAGGGACTGCAATGTGGCCATTCCTCCCTGGGGAGTGCTCACTCACTCTCTCGCTCTCTCTGGAGAGTGCTCGTTCTCTCTCTCTCTCTCTCTCTTTCTCTCTCTCTCTCTTTTTCTCTCTCTCTTTTTCTCTCTCTCTCGTCAGTGAGCACTTCTGCTCTCTAGCATATTAGAAATAGTTTTTAGAAAGAAGAAAAAGGAAGAAAGAAAGAAAGGAAGGAAGGAAGGAAAGAAGGAAGAAAGAAAGAAAGGAAAGGAGGAAGAAAGGAAGGAAGGAAGGAAGGAAGGAAAGAAGGAAGAAAGAAAGAAAGGAAAGGAGGAAGAAAGGAAGGAAGGAAGGAAGGAAGGAAAGAAGGAAGAAAGAAAGAAAGAAGAAAGAAAGAAAGAAAGAAAGGAAGGAAGTCATGGCAGGTGCTCAATCCTGCTACTCCTGGCTATGCAGAACTGTCTTATTTAGTGCCTACCCAGAACCACTTTGCCAGGAGAGCACGGTTGCTGCAGAAGGGAGTGTTTCCTCTTCTTCCCTAAGAAATACCATTTCCTCTGTTCCACTAGCAATTTTGTATTAAGGACCCAAGATTAATTCCAGTGGAATTATCCCCTTTTTTAAAATCTATTTTTGACATGGTGGTTAAAGATACTGGATTCCCACATGGCCGACCAGGTTTGAGTCCTGGTCTCTAGGTTTGAGTCCTGGACCTGGCGGCTTGCTTTCTTGCTTTCCCTTTGTCTCTGACTCTCTCTGGTCAAACTAAAAAATAATAATAATGAATGGAATTAAATAAGTCTTTAAAACATCTATTTTCTTATTTACATTTAATTGTCATACATCTTTATGTCATGCAGTATGACTTTTCAAAGCATGCATGCAATGCCTGATAATTAAACTAAGGTTATTACTTAATCTTTCATTTTCAACAAAGCATCTTCCATACTTGTGTCTGTTAAATGCTTTTTTGCTGAGCCCCTACTTGAGTCTAGAAGATTTAATGCCAAGTGAAATAAGCCAGACTATAAAATTCTCTTCAAGGGGACTCAGATGTTAAAACCCTGGAGTACAAAGCAATGAAGACCTAAGGGAAGTAATTAGGGGGAAGAAGAATGGGGGATGGTTGCCCTGGGCGGGAGGAGGCTTCCGACAGGTGTGTGCCTATCCCATCAACCTCTAGATGAGTGAAATTAAAATTACGTATGGAACATGACTGCTTGCCCTACTTAAAAATGTAAACCTCAGGACCAGCAGTTAGCATAATGGTTATGTTGCTGGACTCCCACATAATCGACCGCGGTTCGAGTCCCGGACCCAGTGGCTTAAACTCACGCCGGGCGCGTGTGCGTGCATGCCCGAGATCCCAAGAGGAGAATGAAGGAGAAGGGATTGCGGCATGGCCATCCCCCCTGTGGGGTGATTTCCTGCTTTCTGTCTCTCTGTCTCTCTCTGTCTCTCTCTGTCTGGCGAGCGCACACGCCCTATAGCAAAAATCTCTCTAGAAAAAAAAAATGTAAACCTCTTCCAAATATTTTTGAAATTACTTTATCACCACTTCACTATTTAAAAACAAAACATACAGACATTATTTTACTGTAGGCATTGATAAAAATAGGTTCCTGCACCTTGAAGTAGCAACTCTTACTTGCATGATTTCAACAGCTTTAAGAATCTGGTACGGGGCCAGCTGGCAGCCTTATGACTAAGGTGGCTGGCTGGATCCCACATGGCCAACAATGTGGTTTGAGTCCTTGTCTCCAGAGACCACACATGTCCTATAGAAAAAGCTGAATAAAAAAATCTGGTACAAGTGAAAATTATTTGAAAAAAATTTTTGTTAACGGCAATAATATTTCTCTTTTCTAATCTCACATATTGAGGGATTAACTATTAGGTCATCAGGAAAGTCATGATGTATTTTTTTATGCAAAAATGCATGATTTTCCCAACAACCTAATTCATTTCAAAGAAGAAATTTATCAGACACATTATGTGTCAGAGATTTACGCACTGCCCTGGAAACCACAGCACCATAAAACTTGCAAGTGGCAACATTTTTCTGTCAAATAGAAAAACCAAAGTAACATTGGTATGAT